GAGCGGGAGAGGCCTTAAAAATACCTAGTCTCAATCGTTTTCATTCCTTAACAATACTTTGAAAGTATCTTCTAGTATTCTGAATCTGAAGGATCCTTCTCCGAATTCTAGTAATTCCTGTTTTCAGAATATCCCATTGTGAAATAGAAGCCTTTTCAGGATTTCTTCAAGTTTCAACTCAGATTTTTGTTATCAACTAAGAACGTAGGATCCTACTAGAAGTGATTGTCAATCCTACTCAGAATCTGGACACGAATAATAGAACAAATTATGCTTAGATGTTATCAAGTTTCTATGAGTATTTATTTGAAATCTCTACTCTAGAATCCTCTCAGAGTTACAGCTAAATCAGACAACAATTCTACAAATCATAAAGAAAGATTATTGAGAATTGTTGAGTAGTGGATTCTGTCTCAATTTCTATTCATTCCTATTATAAGAATTTTCTCGAAACTTCTTCAAGTTCCTGTTCAAATCTCTTCAGGAAAAAGTATTTTGGATCCTAATAGTGGAATGGCAAGTTTAGTCAGGATCTGGATGAGAACATACCAGGATTGAGTTAACATCTTTGTAGGTTCATATTTAAAGTTTGTTCAAACCTAACCTTGAGATCCTATCAAAATTTGTGGCTGATCTCGTTTAGGATCTTGTCAAAAATCGATATAATAGTTCCATCAAGATTTTAACTGATTTCCGTTTAAAATTCATTTAAGATTTTTAAATCTCTGAATCCTAACAAATCTCTCTATCAATGTTAAGTTAAATATAAACAGCAATAGACGAAGGGTAGCTCAAGATTCTACGATATTCTTGTTTCCACTCTGCCAGGATTTTATTTTAATAATCACTTGCATCTTTATGTAAATTAATGGATGAAATCGGGAAAAAATTTAAAAGATTTTTTTTCTTTATATATTTTTGTGATTTATATTCAATATGATCTCCTATTCAGGTCATGAAACAAGTTATCTCTTGAATTTTATTTTCACTAAAAAATAGAAAATTTATTAAATTGAGATGTTAATATCAATTTACTTATTGTACTAATGTTCTCAATTCAATTTGTCTGTGAGAAAAATCAAAAATATATTGTTTGAATCGAATTGAAATCAGTATTTAATAGCAGACTTTTACTAAGATAAATGAATATCTAAACTTCAACATTGCTTTTTCCGAATTTTTCGTAAAATAATTTATGTTCACACAAAATTCAAATAGAAGTTAATCATTAGGCAGGACTTTAAGATATAGAAGGATGAAATTATATTGAACAATATAGCATAATTCAGCAAAGTAAGCTGAGCAGTTTGTAAACCCATTTAAGATAATCTAGAATTAAGTTAAGTTTTTATACTCAACAGTTAGTTTATTTAAAGTTCAGTTTAAGTGATTCTACTACCCAACTAAACAAAAATTTTTGAAAACGCCTGTAAACACACAAAAAAGCAGAAACGTGGGCTTTTTCTGCTCATAACTGCAGTCCCCAAGTATAAGAGAAAAGCGATCACTTTTCTGCTTTTTATGTGTTTATACGCATTTTTCTTCGTTCTTGACAGAGAAATTGTGTAAACGAACAAATATGAGGCAAAAACCGGTCGTTTTTTTGTTACTGTCAGAAATTGCGATTGTGACTAAAGTTGACTTTCTCTACTATTTTGTGCATTTAAAAAAGTTTTCGACAACATGCGACCGCTTGGATGATAATCGACGAATGTTCACAGGAGAATTAATGATGAATTGATGCATTCCTAGTGTCTCATGATGTATTTGAATATTCTGATGATGATTTATTGATGTATTAGCGTGTCTCAAGCAATCACATATTGCTGAAATCTTGTTCAAATCCACAAAAAGCAAAGAAAGTGAACCTTTTCTCACGATCGCAGTTTCTGACGGTGATAGAAAAACGACCATTTTTTGCCTCATATTTATTCTTTTACATACTTATTCTCTCAAAAACGAAGAAAAATGCGTGTAAACGTGTGAAAAGCAGAAAGAGTAGACGTTGCTTTCTCATAATCGGGAACCGCAATAGTGAATGAAAAAGGCCCATGTTTCTGCTTTTTTGTGTGTTTTCAGGCGTTTTCAAAAATTTTTGTCTGCCTGAGTAGGCAACTATCATTTATTTTCGAGTTTTTTTCTATTCCAATACGAACTTAGCATGCCATTGTGCGAGCCATTGAAGAGAGAATCCCTGTTAATCTTCTGATAAGCTCGGTCAACAATGTGTTCTTTCCTCGCAATAATGGACAAAAGTACTACTGAAATCTGATTGGCTAATAGCTTTTTGCTTTGCAAAATCAGATTTGAGGCCTCCACCCTCAAAAAAAGTCATTTCTCGTCAAAATGGTTGAAATTAAGATTAACGCAGAAGAAGATAGCCCGTGATTTGATCCCTCATAGATGGCTAAAATTTTTGAAGATTTCCGCCATTCTCTCTTCGAAAAATAAGCTGTTTTTGGAAAAAATCGAAAATCTTTTTCATTTTTTCTCGTTTCATGATATGTTGAACGCGCAACTCAAAATTCTAAAATTCAGGTTCATGTGATGTCTTCAAATTTATTTTTGTTTGAAAGAGCATGTCAAGATGTAGTGTCTACCAGAGCTCTTTTTTGTGTAATCAAAAAGTTTATATACTATAGAATCGGTCAGTGTGTCCGTCCGGCCGTCCGTTTACACGATAACTTTTGAAAGGAGAGTCCGATCGCGATGAAATTTTCTACACAGTTTAGTCCCAACAATATCTCGGTCGAGAGAAGAAGATGAGAAGGATTGGCCGAGCCCTTCCTGAGTTATTGCAAAAATACTCATTTTTCCCTATGGCTTCCTATGCGAAAATCGACCTATCCCCGCTTTCGTAAAAAACTTTTCTTATCATAAACAAATAAAACCCCAACTATTATATACCATTCGATAGAGAATTTCACGAGCTACAAAATGGTATATAAAACATAAAGAAACAAGAAGATTAACTCACCTATTGCAAAGATAATTAAACGGAATTCGGTTCTGTGTTTGTTCACGCTCTAATTGATCCGTAAATAGAGCTCTATCTTCCGATCACAGATATGATAGTTCAAGGTTTTCTGGGATGGAGAACTCGAATCTGTGTTCCATTCGTCTAGAAATTCCATTGGTTGAGCAGTGACCAATAGAAATGAAGTTATAGTAAAAACGAGTTTCTTAGGGTAAATGAAGGTGGAGAGTTGAAATCTGATCTGTATCTGCCTCCAAATCCTATTGATTGAGCAGTAGCCAATAGCAATCAAGTGTTTATAGAAAAGGTTTGCCAGGACAATGTTGATGTCCACACATTCGTCGGATGACTCATCTGTCTCATTCACTTTTTGTAGTACACATAACTCTCGGATTTAAATCCGAGGTTTCCGCATTTATTTTGTTTTGATGCTGCGATTATCGTGTGGATGGGATGTGTTTGGTTTTCGTTTAGTGTTAACAAAGACGTTGTTTGAATTGGTCTATGAAAGCTTTTTGAACTCTCGTATGTGATTTTGAATGTGTGCGAAGTTTATTGTTTTGTGCGTGAGATCGAGTTTTTTCATGTGCCATGCTGCTGTTTTGAATAGAGTGACGGATTTGAATTTAGTACGGTGTATTGCTCGATTTGATTTGTTTTACTGTGGAATACTTTGTGCATAAGAGGTGTACGGTTTTGGAAAAGGTGAAATAGAAGAATATTTTGTACCATCGTAATAGTAGTATTTTTGTGGGCTTATCATGGGAAAATTGGCAAGGAATCCGTAAATATTGGTATGTTCTTTTATGCGAGGCATTTGTTTGATGTTGTGCTGCTTATAAAGAAAGAGAGATGATCAAGAGATATATGGTGCAGGCTTACCAAATCTTCTCATTTAACTAGGAGTCTCTTGATTTTTTGACTTTTTTTCTGGTAAAAAATCTTCTGATTTCAAGAGCTGATTTTGAGTATTTACTCGTGATATCTCTGGATTCTAGACAATCATCTACTTTGTTTGCAAATTTTTTTAAATCCTATCTGTTGTGGGCGAAACTAAACTTCGTAAATGCCGAAAAACTAGACTTTTCTAGTAAACTTGTCAAGAGAAAGAAAATATCAAAGTAATAACTTTCGGCTTAATAAAATGATTTGTTATGTTGAGTAGCATCGATTGTAGAAGTTTTATCTTTCTATCATTTGAAATTTGAGAAATTCTAGAAGAAAGTTTTTTCTATGAATACTCATTGAATTTATGCTTCGGAACAATGATAGTATCAGTTACATACATTTTAAAGATGATCTATCAAATCATATCATATAAAGTTTGACAAGTTGAGAAAGTTTTACTCTATACAGATGAACTCAGTATAATCGTTCTAGACTTGTGAAATAAATCTTCGAAAACGAACTTGAATAAAGATTATTTCGTTTAGATATTAAAAATATTTGTAGATTTGACTATTAGAAATAGTTTAATAGAAATAATGATATATATATATATATATATATATCCATCGAAGAGTGGATCAAATATAAAACTATAATTGGATATTTAATAATTCATTTCAATCTATTCATTTATTTAAATCTTAGTCGACAACTGGTTAGACCAAGGGGGAAAAAGCTGATTCCAAGATTCCAAGATTCCATTGATTCTACATGATTCTATTGATTCTACGTGATTCTATTGATTCTATATGATTCCATTGATTCTGTATGATTCCATTGATTCTACATGATTCTACATGATTCTGTGTGATTCTATTGATTCTATGTGATTCCATATGATTCTATAAGATTCTATATGATTCGAAGTGAGGGTGCATGACCTTAAGCAATAGTAAAAATTTGCCAAAATATTTAATTAAGTAAAGAAATGTTCAGAAGTAGCAAAAATCAAATAGCATCTACAACGTTTATCAAATAATTATACATTGAAAGTTAAGCAGGATATCTATTCTTTTTATTTTTATTTAAAAAAAAATTAGTTTTATTTGTTAGTGTTGTTTGTTAGCTTTGTTTGTTATTTTGCCATTACACGAGTTAATCGATCAGACGATAATGTGTATTTTTTATCTGTGAGATACCAAATGGCTGTACTTTTATGTAAATACTTTTGTTTTCCATCAATACGAACTAAGAAATAGGAGTCTTTCAGATCTGGATTAATGGTATTACGAACTCTTTTCATAGTCGGTAAACGATTATTTGTTGTTTGTGATGTTAAGATATCGTCGTTGTCTTCATCGATACCATCGTAATCCTCCTCATCATCATATATATCCATTTCGTTTTGATCGTTCTGTTCATCTTCCTCCGTAATACTTCCTTCAGAATCTGAGTCCGATTGAGCATTTTGTTCATCAATTGATGTTGGAATTAGAAAATCTGCTTTTGTTGAAGACTTTTTTAAATGATTGTATATATGTTCACTAACTTGTTTCATAGTAACATCGATTGATTGTGTAAATACTTGTTTGATGCCCAATGGAACTAAAAGATTAAAAGCATCGCTGAACGCACGACCCACTTGTTCTTCAATTTGTTGCTTGGTAATTTTTTCTGGTTGAATTGTTGATTGTTTTGAATTTCGTTGTGTCTTGTGATGACTAGAAAATTTAAATGTAGTAGTTGTTAATGATGAATTTGTTTGAGCTTTGATATGATTTAAGAATGAAATCTTCTCTTGTCGATTAAGAAATTGTTGAATAGAAAAATTTACACAAGTAGAAAACGTTCCAGTTATGGATCTTGTTAGTTGAAAAAATCTCTCACAAGTTTGAGAATTGAAGAGGAATACATTTAATGTTTCAATTGGTAATTGATTTTTGACAACCAATAATGTAAGATAAGTAAAATTGTGTGCATTAATTTCAAGACATAAAAAACTCGGTGATGTAATGAAGAAATTTCGTTTTGTTTTTTTTTGTTTGAATTTATCTTTGGCAATTTCGGAAATATTATTCATTTCTGAAATACGTTTATCTAATTGTCGTTTGGGTATCAAATCAAGCCATGTACGCCACAATCGACATAGGAAAACGGCTAACCAGGCGTGATATATCCGGTCAGAAGTTGTTGTTGATGTATCAATGAATGCTATAATTACACAACGAATAATATTGATATATACGACTGTAGCATCCGAACCACTAATTTCTTTTAAATATTCTAATGCAGCACATAACTTTTCGCACGATCTATAATTTTGTTTGTCACGAGGACAGATGTCCGACTTGACCAAATTGTGCTTGAATTTCGATTGTGATTCAATAAGTTGCAATAAATAATCAATACTAATTACATTTTCACCCATCATCATAATAGCTGAAGATTGTAAAAGTCGATTACGAAGTTTGGTGCAAACGTGAGTTGCATCTTGCATGAATAAGAATAACTGTTCACCTGGTAAATAAAACCACGACCAAGAAGTTGTTATAGCAACCTTTAGTAATGAAGAGTGTTTTGACTTTTGGTTATTGATCAAGACACCAAAAAAACCAGAAACCAGCATCATGGCTAATAAATACTTTGGATCAGTATCCGTTGAGTATCCTACGATCCGTATACCTCGTGATGAACTTTCTTCAAAAATTGTATACCAACGACGAATAATATCAAGGGCAGTGTATTTTCCATTTGTTCCATATGCAGCTAATGCAAAAGAAGGACTAATTTGATTATTAATACATATTGGTTGGATCATATGTAAATTAAGTAAATGAGACATTTCTTTTTCTTCAAACCAACTTTGTAAATCTTCAATTGAGTTTGTTCGAAAATATTTAATATGAGGCATACCATTTTCGTCGAGTGGTGGTGTAAATCCAATAAATGAATTTGATCGAACATCATATACGATCTTACGTAAAGTACTGGTACAATCTTCACTACAAAATGCAAATTTTGAATTAATTTCATTCATATATTTATTCATATCATCGTAGCGGAATTCGCCTTCTAATGCACGAAATCCTGCTGTGGATAATTTTGCTCGAATTGTGATTAAGCTGGGTAATGTACCAGGTATATTAATACGTAAAAATTCATATGCGTTGCGGCCTGCTAAAATAGATAAGCAGACAGCGAAATCAAGTACTTGTTCATTATAACGATATCGACTTTCGGCAACAGTTAAATTTGAAAGAAGGTTTTCAAGGAAGTAATGTAGAAAAGGTTTATCAGTTGGATGAGAATTTTGAGAAGATGTGATGAAGAAGTTGATTAAACCTTTGAGAAACGGATATTGTTGTAAAATCTCGAATGGTATTATTAAGTCGTTTTCATCAGTAACAGCAGTTGTCATTTGTCCATTATTAATTGATGCATTTCGAAGGCTGTTCAATAATTTATCAACTTCGTGCCGGATTCCAATCTTGATTGTACAACTACCATCAGAACGACAAAATGCTAATTTCTTCTTGACAATAGCTAATTCAACATAATCTTGCTGTAATGGTAAGAAAATATCATTAATATCAAGGAGTGAACGAACTGAACGAACACGAAGTAGTTGTAAATATTCTACAATATCTTCACCACAAAACTGACCAACCAAATCAAAAAAGGCAGCATCTCGAAATTCAAGTACATTATGTGGAAATATAAGCAGTGATTGAGTCATGTTATTATTTTTCTAAATGAATAAACAAGGTAGAATGAGCAAAAACAGAAACGATCACTTGTATACTAAGAAAAAAAGAAAGAGATGTGATAAAAAATTTATTTTATTTATCAGAATTGTAAATACGAGAAAGACAACACTTTTCGATTTTTTTTTTGTTATATTTACTATCATTAAGCACTTTGTAGCAAGAAATTTCCTATCTTTATTAGAAAATTGTTCTAAGCACCTGTAAAAAAACAAACATCAAAAGTAAATATCAGTCACTATTATTCATAAAAATTAAATATTGATAAAATAAAAATAAAAAAATTAATTAATGAAATATCTAAGTTATCTGTTGTATTACGTCTAAGCTGTTCGAATCTTTTTCGTCGTTGTATGCTTAGATGTTGATCGTCGAGTTCTTTTTCGAACAGAAGTTATTGATATTTGTTGTAAAGAAGAAATAGAAGTTGAATCTTGAGTATCATCTTGTGTTGTATCACCAATTGAATCATTCATTACTTCAGTTTGAACCATCAAGCAACCTGATTTTAAATGACGAAAGTAATTTGATAACTATTAAAAAGAGAAAGAAAGAAAATTTTTATTGATGTTTTTTCAACTACATTTACTAATAGATAGTTCATATTCGGTCGATTTTGTAATTTTACTACGAAAATGCAAATATTTTACCTAACTTCAGTACCATTCAAAGGTAAGAAATAAATATTTAGACTCTGAGGTTAAACATTCGACTTCCTACTACCTCACATACTACGTCTAATTTGTTGAAACAAACATGCTAGGAGACAGTAAATGTTTTGACAAATAGCCTTACTTTGAAATTGCCGGATTCAGCACGTAACAGAATGTATACTAAACCACATGAACATTTAATTTCAGCTTTATCAAGAGATGAAGTAAATTTTAAATGATAATGCACACCAGAAATAAGACTAGAATCAGGAATTTTAATTGTATTTTTATTTTGAATACACCAATCTTGAATAGAATTTTCAATAAGATCACGATGTCCATCTTCATCTTTTTCTGAAACGGATAAACCAGCAGTTGTATTAACATTAGATAAATTATTAGAACTGAATGATGAATATAAACCAGTTGATTGAAATAAAGTCGGTTGCATACGTTTGGTTCTGACGACTTTTTTTTGCATTTCTTTCAAAAGTGTCTTAACATAATCAAGTGAACTTTTAATTCCTGGTCTGACTGTATATATTCCATTTCGATTCTTGAAACCACATCGTGTCTGAATTTCCTTCACGTCATCACTATCAAGTGCAAATATGGAATAAGCATCTTCAATGGAAAGAAATGAATCGACAGATCGTATAGATTGAATTGATAATAAGTCGGCCTCGTCTTTACCACAGAAATTTTCAATAAATGTGTAAAAACGTTCGTTTGTATAAGTAAAAACGTCTTTTGGTAAACGAGATATGTCGACTGAAATACGTGTCATGTTGATTGTGTAGAAGATGAAATTGAACAATAGACATATACGAGAAAATAATTACTAAAGCAGACGACATTCTTATTGTCCGTCTAGATAATATATATGAATGAAAGAAAAAAAAACGTTGAACGTTCGTTATATCTAGGTCAATTAATTCATTTTTGCATCTCACTTAAGATCACAAACGTTGTTATAGAAAGGTATTTATTTTAACAAAAATTGTTTACATATATATATAATACTTATTTGTAAGAATAAATAAAGCGAAAAAAAATAATATACAAATAATATATTAAAATTAAAGTGCCATGAATGGTTGTTCATAAATTGAAACAAGTGCGAAAATAAGAAAAAGAATTTTTTCTTATTTATCAGATATTCATATGCAAATAAAGTCTCTAATGACAAGTGATTTTGCTTGCTTTCAGTTGTATAAATGATTTCCGATGACTTCGTGCGATTTTTACTGCTTTCACTGAATGACTTCCATAGTGGTTCTACCAATTGATTCTATTGATTCTACATGATTCTACATGATTCTACATGATTCTATGTGATTCTGAGTGATTCTATTGATTCTGAGTGATTCCACAGATTCTGCGTGATTCTGTGGATTCTGAGTGATTCCATTGATTCTACAGTGATTCCAACGCTACAGAAACAGCTTTTTCCCCCTTGGGTTAGACACATTATCAACGATTTTTCTTTTTTTCAATAACATTTCAAAATGTTTGTGTTTTTCGTTATTCTATATTTATTCAAATTATTTTCAATAAATGCATTATTATGTCAATTAAATAAAAATATGCTTTAAGTATATTATTTGTTAAAATAAATATAATAGAAAACGAACATAATCTGAGAAAAATGACGCAAGTCGATATACTAGATATAGTAATCAATAATATCTAAACGAGAAAACATTGTTGGCTTATCAATATTAACCAATTGAATATATAGTAAAAGTACATTATTATATATGATGAACTTTCACTCATCGTATTAAGAGTGTAGTTATGATGTTGATCTGTAAAAGAGCTAATTGGTATTTCTAATGTGTGATTAGAACGAAAAAATGTCGTTCTAAATATAGATAAGTAATAGTGTCCTTCATTCTATATCTATTTTGTCGCTTTTTTTTACTTTTCATTATCTATATCATTATCAAACAAGGTCATGTGTCTCGACTTTCTTTCAAATTTTTCTTCGATACATCTGTTTCATATAATTTCATTCTTTTTCGCTTATTACATATTTCAATCTTTTTTTTTTCAATAAAAGAAAAAAAAATACTTTTATTAGAAATAATTGTTTTTTTTTCAATCAATAATTAGTGAAGAGAAAAAAACGTATGGTTAGTAGAAAATAGAGATAAACTTGTTAGATAATATAATATTTCTACGTTTTGTTCTATCTTGTGATGAAAACTTTAAGTTTTGTTGAATATTTATTTAAATTATTTTTGATAAACAACTTTCGAAATTTGAACAATGTCAAGAATTGCAACAAGTTCTCCAGAAACTGAATCATTTATTTCTCAACCAACTGAAGTAACAGTAGTATGTTAAAATGTTTTTTCAAAGGAAAAAACAAATATATTTATTTTTAAAAGATTCCAGTAAAAGTTTCAACTACTGATGTTCAACAGTCATTTGGTTCAGTTATTATATCAAATGAACAATTTCAAGAATTGTTAGATCATTTTGGAAATTCAAATCGAAATCAATCTCGAATAGCAAATCCAGGTGCACTTGGTCTTGCTGCGTTTGCATTAACAACATTTATACTTTCTGTATTTAATACTGGTTCATATTTCATTGATATTAAATTAGAAGGAGTTGTTTTACCAGTTGCATTATTTTATGGTGGTTTAGCTCAATTTTTAGCGGGTATGTGGGAATTTAAAGTAAACAATACATTTGGTGCAACAGCATTTACAAGTTATGGAGCATTTTGGATGTCATTTGCTGGTTATGTTCATATTATATTACCAAAAATAAGCCAAGTTGCAAATGCAAAAAAAGCAACAGGTCTTTTTTTATTAGCTTGGTTTATTTTTACAATAATAATGAATGTTGCTGCATCTAAAACATCGAAATTTTTATTTATTTTATTTACACTACTCAATATAACATTTTTACTATTAATTATTGGAAATCTTACTAATTTAACTTTAGTTATAAATATAGGAGGATGGTTTGGAATAATAACAGCATTTACAGCATGGTATGGTTCTGCTGCTATTCTTATTAATTCAACTTTCAACAAATCAATTTTACCTTTAGGAGTTTTTACATAAAATTAAACACATTTACGTTTATTAAACATTTAGTTTTTAATTAACTATTTATTAGTTTTATAGAGACATTTAATGTGTCATTTAAAATTCGCTCATATATATATGGGGTGACCAGGCTGACCGAAGGCTCCAACTTTTTTTTATCATTTAATTTCTATAATACATCAGAATAATATGATTTTTTTACCAGTTACAGTACTTATGTAGTACTAATGATTTATTATTGTCTGGTTTATATATCTTTTCAAAAATCAAAATAATCAAGCGTTTTCGTAAAATCTGTCCTGAAATCTTTTTTTTTTGTTTTTGATCAAACTTATTGTAAATCGTGCTTGGTATTTGAAACCGTAAGAAATACCACTGACATAGCTTTATTCAAATAATCGATCAGAAACTACAGATGACGTATCATGATCTATAATTACAAACAGGATGTTTACGCAATTGAAGGTTACATACATAGTGGAGAAACAACATGTACAATTGTAGTGATTTTGTCAATGTCATCATAAGGTTCTCTGTAAACATTTTCTAAAATAGCATAATTTGTAAGACGTCGGTTGATGTTTTCGATAGCTGCTCTTGCACTATGCAAATAGATGGATTGAAATCTTTATCTTCAACTCTTAATTCATCATCATGTGGTTCTTTTTTAAAGTAATAACATATTATTCACCAATATATCCTTTATCAGCAATAATTTGTACATCTTGTAGTGTATTTCCTAATAAACCTGATTCTCTTTAAATCGTAATGTCATATGTACTACTTTGATAACATCTGAATACATATATTATTTGATGATGAAAGTCACAAACTATTTATGCTTTGAATGCATAGTTTGTCGGACTTTTTGCATGATAATATGCTTTACATCATTCAGAATCTTCAGGTTGATGAATTGCAATAAAAGTCGAACCAACTATTAACTTGTAATATTGTTCAGGTTTATGAATTGTAGCCTCATCATCCATATTATCAAGTAATGAAACCAATTTCGGACAAATACAGGACTATCAAATATCTATCAACGCTCATAACAAATAATTCATTATTGGTCGACTAAAACTCAATTCGGTTGCTATATATCGTTCAGAATGATAATGTTTCAAATATGATAATGTGACAGAAAGTAGATTTACGGAAGATAGATATGGAATATTTGTACTTGTTGTTTGTTGTTTTCTATTCGTATAATATTCTACCAGTGATTGCTCACAAAAACCATTTAACTGTCGTACTTATTCGATGTCATGGTTTGTATGCTGTGTACAGGAATCATTACTAAGACTCCACTCAGACCATAGACGCTGCTCTAAAAATAGAAATTTATATCCAGACTAAATCATGAATGTTGTTTAACATCATACAACATTTGAAGTTCTTGCATACTTCCATTTTGCCTCTCTTCCTTTAGCTGTTGTCTTTCTTGTTCAAGTTCTGGTGAACATTAATTACATCTTTGACAATGCTGAAAATAATTACGGTATAAAACAGATTTTTTAGAAGCAGCACATGTTCAGTCCAGAGATCGAAAACGAACCGAACCGAACCGAACCTGAAGTAATTTAGAAGCAAAAAATGTTAAACACGGTTTACTGTCCAATGACAAAAAAGTAACTAAACTATCATTGATTTAGAGAAGTATAATGCCGTCAAGAAAGATAAAAACGAACATTTATTGATGGTTTTACATGCTTAATATGATCTCTGTGTATTGCTGTCTACTTTTTCTCTTAGTTCTAGTTACACAAATTGTGTTTATGATGATAGATCACTTTTATGTGACATAATTCTTTGATTTTTCTCTAATAAATCTCTCCATTTTTCTAAAGTGCGATGAATAGCTGTCCGTAGTGATATGAGATTAGTATCACACTAGAATATTTCTAATTCTCGTGCGTCACTGTTAACATATAATTTAATCTACAAATGTATTTGGCAGTGTTAAATGACACGAATATGAACTTCCATGTGACAATTTTGATTGTCTGAAAACTAAGTTTTGATTTTTGGTCTAGTCTTGATTAAATGGGAGTAATACTACTCCAGTCGAACCACAGTCGAATTGTTTTTTTGAAGACCAGCCGAACCGAACCGAACTCGAACTACTTTCTCGAAAAAGAAGTCGAACCGAACCGAACCGAACCGAACTCGATCTAGAAAAACTCGGTTCGATTCGACCTCTGGTCCAGACTAACATTGTTTTACAATTGTTGCAATATCTATGACATTCATTTATAGTAACTTCACACAGAGAACAGTTCCATTCAACTTGTAAAGAAGAACACATTAAGATGAGATGTAGATGACTGTATTGGTTTAGTGGAAATATTTCAAAATGAATGAACGAACAAAGAAAAAAGAGAAATAAGATCAAAAGTAGAATAGAAACGACACGATTGAAACAAGGCGACTATGTGAAACGGATCACGTATTCAACGTGTGGAACATATACATTGATGTGAGAATGAGAGAATATTCGATAATTAAAAAGATGTTTCTCTTCGCTAACCTCTTTGGTAGTGATATGCGCATCTTCAAGATGCTCATACTTGACTGTAGATATATTTATTTCTATTTATTAATGATGCAGACTTCAAATGTATTATTGATTACTAAGTCTTTCTACGGAAAAATTTATGTAGTCGATAAAAATGATAGGGTATTTTACCAAAATCTTCTATGACAACGCTTGATTATTTTGGTTTTTAAAAAGATATATAATCCGGACAATAATAAATCATTAGCCACTATATAAGTACTATAACTGGTAAAAAAAAATCATATTATTCTGATGTAATATTATAGAAGTTAAATAATAAAAAAAAGTTGGAGTCTCCAGTCAGACTGGGCACTTCCATATATACCTTCGGAAAAAAATAGTTAGGCTCTGTATATTGCGCATATTTTCACTATGAAGACATATTATTTTAGAACCAATGACATGTTCTGAAAGTCAGTGTAGTTTTCTATCACGCTGCATAATTTGGTTTTAGTTTGCAGTTATGCATTAACAAAACAAATTGAGTGTAATGAAGGCACTCTTCTGTCAATATTCCCACAAATTTGATTTTGACACTGTCGTCAGAGTTAGTTTTTGGAATTTTTCATCATTATAGAAACATCTTTTGAAAAAAGTAATTATATATTCTGATAGAGCTTGAAATTCTCTATCATCCTATATATTTTTATTTTGCCTTGTATATATGCGCTGCAGCGCATTCAGCATATAAATACAAAGCAAGATAAAAATACATAGGATGATAGAGAACTTCAAGTTCTATCATAATCTATAATTACTTTTTTTGAAAACTTGTTTTCATAGTAACTATATTTTGAAAGAAAGATAACAGTAACAATTCAGATACGATAAAAACATTCTTCACTATAAAGACAGATTTAAAAAAAAAACTTCCTCGATTATTATTCCCTAGACTGAAAGGCTAGGGTCTAGAAACCGTAATTCACCTGTATCTGTTTGTCCGTTTGTCTGTCTGTCTGTAACAAGCGCTTGGCACAAATGACCATTTCCATGGCACAAACGACCATTTTTATGACGCAAATCACCATTTTTATGGCACAAATGGCCATTTTAGTGGTACCAATAAGCATTCTTGTGATACAAAGTACCATAATCATGGTACAAGTGACGTTGTCAAGGTACAAAATACCATAGTCATGGTACAAGTGACCATTGTCATGGTAGAAAGTACCATTAGTCGCGGTAGACGTTGCTGTTGTCATGGTACAAAGTACCAGAGTCGTGGTACAAGTAAGCATATTGATGGCAGAAAATACGAAAGTCGTGGTACAAGTGACGATTGTAATGGTGCAAAGTATCATTTTCATGGTACAATTGACCGTTGTCATGGTACAAAGCACCATGGGTCGTGGTACAAATGACCATTTTTATGGTGCAAGTGACCGTTGTGATAGTATAAAGCACCATAATTGTGGTACAAATGACTGTTGCTATAGTGCGAAGTATCGTGAGTCGTGGTAAAACTGACCATTTATTTTGGCATAATTGACCATTCTTGTGGCTCAACTCAGTTTCTACGGTGCTATCAACCATTTCTATGGGACAGTTGATCATTCTTATCTGCGAAATGAGCGTGTCTGTGCCACCACTAGCTAGATCCGTATTAGAAATGGCCAGTGCTATGGAATAAGTAACCGTTGCTAGTCCTTAGAATCAACTGACTCATATGTTTTATCATATACATTAGCATCTTGCAATACTTTATGTCAACTGTTTGAATATATCTTTAGTATGTAATATACAACATTTTGCAAATATCAATGATTTGTCCTGAACTCATCATTGAACAGAATTCATTTTTATTACAAAACATAAGGACATCTGTGTCATCATTCCGTCAGTCTAGGGCCCCGTCAGGGGTGGCGCGAGTCAACCAACATTGGGGGGGTGTAGCGAACTTTTTTGGACTAGAAAGACGAAGTCTGCAATTTTTCGGGGGTGTAACATTGTTTTTGGTGACAAATGGAAGAAAATTTCCTGATTTTGTTGAGCAAAAAAACAGAAATTTTTGAAGATTAGGGGGGTGTCGCACCCCCGACTACCCCTCGGTCGCGCCACCCCTGGGCCCCGTGAATCGACTTTCAATGTGGATGAATCTTACTTGTTTGTTTCATATGAACGTTATTTAATTGACATTGTTTACTAGATATATATATATATAGATTAAAGTTCTAAGTCGTCGTTTTTTTTCTAGTTAACATAAGAATATTTGATTATTTATCAAAAATAGTAAACTAATAAAATTTTTCATTTTTTAGATAATTAACTTATTTTAATCTAAAAATCAATCTTTGAAATATAATCTGATAAATATTGATAATCTCAATTATTGTTATATTGTTCATAGGAGTGTTGTTGAAATTTTGAATTTGTTTATCTTCATGCGCCTTTGTTTTCCTTAGTTATATTATTTGAATATATTCTCTAAACACAATTAAATAAAGAAAATTTTGAT